TTGGGATTATAAATTATAATTAATAGTATTTTTAATATTTTTGGTAAAAGTAAGTTGTAATATAAATAATTATACTTTATATAATCTAAAAAAAAATTATAAAAAAATATTATAAATAATATTTGTTAATTTATTGTTAGTTAAATGTAATGGAAAACTGAGAGACTGAAATTCAATCAAATTTGGGATCATAAATGATAATTAAAATTATTTTTTAAACATTTTTAATAATAAACAATATGTAATATAAATAATTATACTTTATATAATCTAAAAAAAATTATAAAAAATATATCTGAATAATATTTAAAAATTTATTAGTAGTTAAATGCAATGGTGTACCGAAAGACACTGAAATTCAATCACAAACACAAATTTGGGATTATAAATTATAATTAAAATTATTTTTTACAGATTTTTAATAAAAAAAAAATATGTAATATAAATAATTATACTTTATATAATCTAAAGAAAATTATAAAAAAATATTATAAATAATATTTGTTAATTTATTGTTAATTAAATGCAATAGTAAACTGAAAGATAGTGAAATTCAATCGAATTTGGGATCATACTCTGTAAATAATAAATAATATTATTTTAAAGATTTTTAATAAAAAATAAATTATTGTAATCTATAAAAAAATATGTCAAGGAAAGAAAAATAACTCTAAATAATATTTACAAACTTCACTTAAATGTAATGGTACCCTCATATTGAAACAGTGTGCAATAAAATCGAGTTCGAAATCATAAAAGATAACTAAACTGTAATATCTCAAACATTTTTGATAAAAACAATTTATAATATAAATAATTACACTTTATAATTTATTAACAAAATTTTAAAAAATATCTGCTAACTTATTATTAATTAAAATAAAATAATATTCTTATACTGAAGCATTGCAATGCAATCAAACTCAAAAACACTTGCCAAAAAAATGTATAAACAATAACAAAACTATTTAAAAATTAAAAATAAAAGTATTCATCAAATTAAACAATAAAAATATCAACAAAAGAATTTTCTAAATAATATTTAACAAACTTACTTAAATATAATGGTACCCTCATACTCTGGCGGTGCGATCCAATCGAATTCTAGGTTATGTTTTTTTTCTTTACTAGTATGAGTAACAGCGTTCTGTAAAAAGATATCGAAACAACAAAAAAACACATAAACCTCGACCAAAAATAAAAATGAAAATAAATCTAAGAAATGAATGATTATTATGTTACGTACGTTAACACCATTTGTACATTCAACGAACTTGGCATTATCGGGCAAGTTGTTGAACTCGCCAATCAATTCGCCGCTTTCAACGTCTCTAGCAAGGATGAAGAAACCTTCATAAGCAAGACCCTGAGGACTTCCTAGAATAAGCCGAACTCTACCTTGTCCCGCGGCAGGTAATACCTGATAAGGTGGATACGAAGTCTGAATTTTGCCACCACTATGTCCAGGTATTAAATCGATGCAAGTCTTTGGTGGTGCACCACTCGAAAAACCATCAATCTTTTCGATTACGGTTAAGGTAACCAAACCCAAAATTAAATTCAAGTCTGTAAACAAAAACAACAAATGATTTGTATAATGAAAAATATTCAGGTATTAACAGAAAACAATGTAAAAGTTTTAACAAAAGAAATATAATTTTATATACATCTCATAGAAATTAAGTGTAAGTTTAAAATTGACAAATAAAATTTAACTTTAGCATTTTCCAAATGTTAAACTGACCTGGGATACGTGGGTTAAAATAAAAGGAAAAAAAAAAAAAAAGAGAAACGTAGACGAACGAAAGTTAGATAGAAAAAAAAGGGGAATGATAGAGTCGAAAGGTAGAGCAAAAAAGAGGAAAAAAGGGGTGAGAAGAGTGAAGGGAAAACAAGGATAGGAATTACGTGTTAAGCACGAGTGCCGATCGATGTACCCCAAGCTAGGAAAACTTGCAAACGCTTTGACAGGACTTTCGCATCTGTATCCGTTCTCCCAAGTTAACCGTTCACGCGATCTCTCACTTATACCAACACGCATACACCTATATATAAAACATATATATGTATATATACATAAGGTAGTAGATAGGTAGATAGGAGAACAATGTCAGAACAAGTTGGATTTATTCCCTCGATAGAATATAGAAGACAGGTGCGAGCTTCTCTTACTTTCAAAGAGGACAATCGAGGATACATATGGGACCAGCAAAAAGGATATTACAGGATTAAATACAAATAATTCTGCATATAACTTATATATATGTAAATTAGGATGGTGTGGCCATGTGATGTAGTTTTGTTATAAAATGTTCATTTAATTTAATTCTAAGTTATTTAGTAAATTATATATAACAACACACAAAATAATAATACCACGACAAAATATAAAAAGTAAGCTCAGCTATGTCTATGTACTATTAGTACATTAGTACTCTATGTAGTTATGTCTGTGTGTTATGTTTATGTACCTAAAAAAAAAACCTGAAAAAAATCTGAAAAAAATCTGAAAAAATTGAGTTGTAACACAGAGCCATCTATTGAATGCTAACAGAGCCTAGAGATTTAGATTAAACGTTGATTTAATTTAATTCTAAACAGTAGGAGATTACAACAATACGTAAAATAATAATACCACGAAAAAATATAAAAAGTAAAGTTAGTTATGTCGTACGTAACTCTAAAAAAAAACCTGAAAAAATTGAATTGTAATACAGAGCCATCTATTAAATGCTTACAGAGCTTAGAGACTTCGAAAAGTAGTTGATTTTATTTAATTCTAAATTCTTTAATAATACCACGCAAAAATATCAAAAGTAAAGTTAGTTAAGTCGTACGTGACTCTAAAAAAAAACCTGAAAAAAAAACCTGAAAAAATTGAATTATAAAACACCACCATCTATCGAGAACTTAGTAGTACTTAGAGACCTACATAACTCCAGACTAATAAATCCTTAAATTAGCAACAAAAAATACAATAGCTTTTTATTTATTTCGTTTAACTTTTTAACAAAAGGCCTAAAATATTTAATAAATAAAAAAATCTTTTTAAATAATATTTTCTTAGCCCACATTTTTCTTAAGTATACAAACATTCTATCACTCTTACTATCTTAACTATACCATAATCAAAGTTAGCTAGGAATAAACACATGGGATATATACACACACACAAATACACACACACCAAACCTGTATTAAGTTATGTAAGTGTGTAATATAGTATCGTGTTTTCTCGCGACTCGTTTACACAATCTAGACACTCGTTTTAAAATGTTATATACATGGGTCAAACGGCGTTGTAATTACGTAAAGGGTTGGCCGGGGGTTTTGCAAAAGAAGGAATTTCAAAAGCAACACACATCCCCCGTCTTCTGGCACACTCGTCACTCTCTTTGGCATTTAGGTATGTTATCCCAACTGTCAAGGGAAATGTGAAGAATCTGGTAGGCCGTGTAATCAAAAAAACTCCTCGACACTTTTTTGCGTGCTTACATCCTGTAAAAAGTCACAGATTTTTTTCTTTCTTCCATTTTCTTTTCTTTTTTTGTTTTTTTTTTGTTTCGTTTGCTCGGAAGATGTGACCCACGCACGTAAAAAGAAACAAAAAAAGAAAGAAACACATTCAACTTACTTTTCGTACGACTTGCTGTTACAAAACGAGAACATACCTTTTACATATTTACGAATAAATACGTGTGTTTATGTGTGTGTGTGAGGGGGGTGAGAAAGGGGGTGACGGGATGAATAAAGAGCAGAAGGGCAGTAGGAACATGCTGGAGTAATTTTCAGTTCATCTTTGTATAGACGATTGTCAACTATATGTAGGGGAAAAATCGTCAAATTACTGTGTCGAGTTGAAAAGAAAAGAATGAAAAAAATAGAAAGAATAGAAGCTTCAAAAAAAAAAGATGGTACAAAAAGTTTAAAAGAGAAAAAAAGAAAAATGGAGAAACAATACAAAAAGTAAAATATCGAAGGAAAGAAAGAAAGAAAGAAAATATAATCGAAGTAGGTTAAAGTACTTTAAAGAGAAATAAAATAAGGGGTGGATAATAGAATACAAAAAATACAATAAAAATTATATTTTATAGAATAATACTAGGGGTGCCCCCTTCCACGCGTTGCTATGGCTCACAATCAGTCCGATACACACGTCTTAAAGTCAATTGCAATTATAAATTGAGATATAAACTATCCTATCTTTCAAGTTGAATGAAACTGCACACAGTGTGCAAAATTTGATTAAAATTGGTTCAGTAGTTTAGGAGTCCATTGCGGACAAACAACGTGACAAGTAATTTATATATATTAAGATTAACTAATAATCTAATAATTACCTAACCTATATCTTATCACGTGATACTTCTTAACATAACCTCACATATCCTTTTCTAATCACTGCAAAAATACAATACAAATTATATTTTTATAATTTTATTTTATAATAAATTATAATTTGTATTATTTTTAAATTTATTATTTGATTTAAACAAAATATTGTGATTTTTTTTAGAATAATAAATATTAAATATTTATAAATGAAAATTTTCTATTAAATTAATTAGAAATGCAGGAAATGTTAAATACTTATTAATATTATTATTATTATTATAATTATTTTTAAATAATGCAAATGTATTTTTTATTGTTTTAAGAAAATTAAATATCAGTAATATAAGTTAATTTAAAAATATCAATAAATTATGTCAAGTCTGGTAAGGCTTTCTATTAAACAATCAATATATAATTTGACTATTAGTTAATTCAAAAATAATATAAATTAATTATATCGAGTCTAGCAAGGTTTCAATTAACTAATTGAAATATAATTTGATTATATACATTTCACTCAGGTAAATTTAATTAAAATAATATATATATTTACTTGTTATAAATGAACTTAAAGCAAAATTTATAATAATAAATCGTTATGCAATTTCATTGATCGTTCAAATTTTCATTTGTTAAACGTAAAATACATTAAAACTATTAATTAATTATAAATCAAATAAATGAAAAAAAGTAAATACACTGAATTAATTACAAATTATATAATATCTCATTCACACACACACACACAAAAAAAGAAAAGAAGGAACAAACATAATCAATTTATAAACGATTCATATTTTAATGCAACGATGCACATATTTATAAATGCATGTATGCATGCATGCATGCAGATGATACACGTGTTTCCTCTACTCATCGTACAATCATTTTCTTATTTTCTCATTGATGTTCTTTTTTTTTTTTTTTTGCTTTCTTAGCGTTTAATTTTCGTCGATATCTTTTTTATCCTTACTCGTATTCGCTTTTTTTTTTGTCTAACGAATTATTCACTGTCCTTCCATGCAATTAACCTTTTATCACGCTCGACTCGTTTCACAGAATCCATCGAATTTTCCCTGTGCTGCTGCTCGCTAACTACAAAGAGAGAGAGAGAGAGAGAGAGAGAGAGAGAAAAAGAGAAAGATAGTAACTCACGGTCCACTAGAAATTCCCTACATTTTGCTACATACTTTCCTTCGTGCTTTGCACGAAACGATGAGATTGTTAACGAAACTAGAACTACCGACCTATTTTTTGTTTTTTGTTTTTTTTTTCTTTTCTTTTCCATTTTGTTTTTTATTTTTCTTTTGCCTTCTTCTTCTTCTTTATTTTCTTTTTTTATTTTTATATTTTTGAAGTGAAAACTTCTTCAGAATAAGGAGTGATTTGAAAAAATGAAACGCGGCAACGATGTAGCGCTCCGATGTAACGATTCTCGTTTCTTTATCAACGTGTTTCGTTGTTTTGAATAAGAATAATGGCAACTTAACGAGTAGAATAATAATAATTATATAAATATTGTATTTAAATTTATTTATATATGTTTTTTATATTATTGTTATTATAATTATTAATAATTGGCATTAGGAACTCGAAAGTTCATTGCAGCAAATATCAAATCCCACCAGTGTTTCCATCCCAAAGCGCGACTTATTTTTATATTGGGAACTCTGGCAGAGGCTTGGAGTATAGCAATTCGACCTATCTACTCTAATTTTGAATTTAAACACCAGATAGCGTATTCAAGTGTTAGAAATCCCATGTGACGTAGCATTTCAACCTATCTACTCTAATTTTGAATTTAACCACCAAATAGCGTATTCAAGTGCTACAGATCCTAATATATTATTATATCATTATACAATAATTATTATAACAAATTTATTAATTTATAACTTAAGGTTTATAGCTTAACATCAAATCAATATAGCTTAATAAATAAAAAAATGTAATAACAAATATGAACAGTAAGGTTAGTTATGTCATATGTAACTCTGAAAAAAAAACCTGAAAATATTGAATTATAATACAGCGCCATCTATTGGAAACTTACAGTACCTAGAGAACTAAATAAACTGTAAAAAACAAATCCTTAAATTAGCAATAAAAAATAAAAAAAAATAGATGTATAGGTAGGTGGTAAGTAGAGGGGGAAGTAAGTGAATCAAATTTAATATTATTTAAATATTAAATAAACAATTAATATTTAATTATTATATAAATAACAACAA